CCACACGAGTCATGAATGTGGTAACACGTTTTGTGATTTCAATAACTGACATCGCAACATGAGCCATGGATGTGGTAAAATGTTTGTGATTTTGGTAAATGGTATTGCCATATTAAGGAATAGATGTGGGTAACACTTGCGTGAAATTTGTTACTTGCATCGCCACATGCATCATTGATGTGGTTAAAGCTTAAATCTATTCAACTTGGAAACTTACATGATGTACATGGACACATTAAAAAAAAAAACTGACGAAACACCTTATAAATGTAGTAGGACATACGAGCGGTATATGCGATAAAAACTTCCGTGCTTGTGGTAACTGGCGTGAACATACGATCGAAAGGTATATAGGGTAAAAACTGCCGTGAGTTTGCTAACTAGCGTGGACATACGAGTGGTGTATGGGGTAAAAACTTCCGTTAGTTTGTTAACTAGCGTGGACATATGAGTGGTTTATGCGGTAAAAACTTCCGTTAGTTTGTTAACTAGCGTGGACATATGAGTGGTGTATACGGTAAAAACTTCCGTGATTGTGGTAACTGGCGTAGACATACGAGTGGTGTATGCGGTAAAAACTTCCGTGAGTTTGTTAACTTGCGTGGACATATGAATAATATTGTCTCGAAATAAAAGTTCCTTCATAACATAAGTTCCAAGTGGAAGAAATATTCTGTTATATCATTTCCATTGGAACAAATATTACAGTACTTGTTCCTTACGGAATAAAGGCTATAGAATACCGTACTTGTTCCAACAGGAACATATATTAAAACATTGTTTATAACAAAGTTTCCAGTGGTGGAACACATAAACGTTGACAGTGTATGCGATAAAAACTTGCGTGATTGTGGTAACTGGAATGGACATACGAGTGGTATATGTGGTAAAATTTCTGTGAGTTTGTTAACCATGTTAACAGGCGTGGACATACGATTGGTATATGCGGTAAAAACTTCCGCGAGTTTGTTAACTGACGTAAATATTTGAGTGGTATATGCGGATAAAACCTCCGTGAGTTTGTTAACTGGCGTAAACATGGTAAACATTTGATTGTAATGTGCGATTAAAACTTCCGTGAGTTTGTTAACTGGCGTAAACATTTGAGTGGTATATGCGGTTAAAACTTCCGTGATTGTGTTAATTTTAACTGGCGTGGACACATGAGTGGTGTATTTGCTAGGATCCAATGGGAGGGGGGGGGGAGGGGGAGCGTGTTTTGGTGTAAAACAATTCAAACAGGATCTAAGACTAAAATGTCACATTAAACATCCAATGTAATTAGTGTAAAGACGTCATTAATGTTCAAGCCAAAATATAGGTATCGACAGATTGTAGTACAGTGACTGTGCATATGTGTATAATTTAATTTTGAATGTAACGCGTCTTCTGATTGGCTGACGTTGTTTTGTTTATCAGCAGTCATAGACATAATTTTGTCATGTGACCGTGACGTCATCAACGTTTTTTCATGGTTTACTACGGTTTAAAATGGAATTTAGAATTAAATTATAAGAAAGAAATGACTGTAATATTTTTTCTGTCTATTCGAAATAACAGTGTGCACCACATTTTTGATTTTTGATGAGAATTTCTTCATAGACAGAAAAAATATTACAGTCATTCCTTAAATAACAATAACATTATATGTGTGATTTTAATTTATCCATAACACAATCAATGTTTATAAAGATAAAACACTGGCCAAAGATCTAATAACAGTGCTGAATTGGTTATCTTTTAGAAAAAAAAATATTTAAAGGATTGATAAGTTCACCCGGATCGTATCTAAATTTACGCACTCGATAAATGCAACAGCGTAAAAACATATCCTGTTTGTAATAAGTTTGGTACATGTACAGCCAAACTCCCAAAACCAAAGCTTTGTATCCATGAAATTAAGTAAAATGTATTTTGTAAAAGTTTAAGTAATTTGTGGCAGCGAAATCCCTGACTCAATTATTGATCAGTTATTAGATATAAGAAGATGTGGTATGAGTGCCATTGAGACAAGTGCTCTCCATCCAAGTCACAATTTGTAAAAGTAAACCATTATAGGTCAAAGTTATACATCGTTTACGTTCATTAAAATCTAAAACGTCACTACATACGCGGGCATTGTTTGGTATGATTGTGTGGAAGTATAGTGTAAAAAGTTGAAAAGTCAAAACTGTCATCTGATAAATCCATCAAAAACACGTAATTTATCTTAAACTTCCAAAGGATATTTTACACTAAAAAATAATTAATTCTTATACTTATTTTCAAAAGTTAATAACAAGTTATTTGATAGTAGTTAAGGAACTATTTAAAAGAACTGAGAGATCAGTTGCAGAGCACACTAAGAGGCCGAGATCATAGCGGTAGTTTACGGCTTTTGTTGTTGTTGTTGTAATATTGGAAACCCAAACATAATAGGGAACTTCAAATATTCAGAAGAGCCATTAAGGTGAGATGTGGTAATGACATGATTATAAAGATAGGAAGATGTATAACGGAGACAACATCACGTAGAAGTTAACAACTATAGGTCACTGTACGGCCTTCACCAATGAGCAAGACCCATACCCCATAGTAAAGTATAAAAGGCCCTGAAATGACAAATGTAAAACAATCCAAACGAGAACACTATTGCCTAATGTATGTACAAAACGATAATCGAAGAAGAAATATGATTAACAGCAAGAAGCGACAGCCAGTAAATTCAGAATTGACTTGGGACAGACACATACATAATGTGGAAAGTTAAACATGTTTATTGGCGACGTACCAAATGGGACAGTGGTATAACAGTAAAACAAACTATAACAAAAATCAACTGAAAAGGTCTTGACTTATCAGTTCGATACAAAGCACAAAACCCCTAACAAAAACACCAAATACACAAATTATCGATCTGAGAATACTCGCAGTTTTGAAAGCTAGTTCAAAGTCGATAACAACAAGTAAAACAGTCATGTATATCAGACTAAAACATCAACCAGTACACCTTCAACATCCAATGGATTTAGTGTAAAAATATCGCTAACAGTCGGAGAAAAACATGAACTTGTACAAATCCAAAATTTAGGTATCGATCGACAACAGATTGTTTGACCGCGGATGAACATTTTAAGTGTTTTACAATTATATTCAGTATGCTTCGTGCATCGCTTTTCGTTCAATTTGGAGGATTATTTTGAGTTATCTGAATTATTAATTTTGTTTTGTTTTGTTCAGCCTATGTTTTGTTTAATTTGACGTTCAATTTGGAGGATTATTTTGAGTTATCTGAATTATTAATTTTGTTTTGTTTCGTTCAGCCTATGTTTTGTTTAATTTGAATACAGAAAAATAAGTGATACATTGCATTATTAACGCTATTTTAGCAAATTGAATTAATAAATTCCAAATATTTGCTTTTGTTCGAATCAATTTTCTAACTGTCATTTAAGGGGAGTTACTCTAAGAATATTGTTTTAAAGAAATGTTGATGAATATTTATTTTCCAATTGAAGCAAGAAAACAGATTCAGTGAAACCTTTTTTTCATTTTATTTTCTTAAAGCATATTTTAAAACACCTTCTCACATTTCATTTCAAAATTTCATCACATAGATTTTTTTTTATGCTTACGTTTTTGTCGAGCCTTCGACTTTTGTCGAAAAAGCGAGACATAGCGATCCTACATTCCGTCGGCGTCGTCGTCGTCGGCGGCGTCCACAAATATTCACTCTGTGGTTAAAGTTTTTGAAATTTTAATAACTTTCTTAAACTATCCTGGATTTCTACCAAACTTGGACAGAAGCTTGTTTATGATCATAAGATTATATTCAAAAGTAAATTTTGTAAAAAAAAAATTCCATTTTTTCCGTATTTTACTTGTAAGTGGACTTAGTTTTTCTGCCAGTTAACATTACATTCACTCTGTGGTTAAAGTTTTTAAAATTTCAATAACTTTCTTAAACTATCCTAGATTTCTACCAAACTTGGAAAGAAGCTTGTTTATGATCATAAGATAGTATCCAGAAGTAAATTTTGTAAAAAAAAAAATCCATTTTTCCGTATTTTACTTATAAATGGACTTAAGTTTTTCTGCCAGGAAACATTACATTCACTCTGTGGTTAAAGTTTTTGAAATTTTAATAACTTTCTTAAACTATCCTGGATTTATACCAAACTTGGAAAGAAGCTTGTTTATGATCATAAGATAGTATCCAGAAGTAAATTTTGTAAAAAAAAAATTCCATTTTTCCGTATTTTACTTATAAATGGACTTAGTTTTTCTGCCAGTTAACATTACATTCACTCTGTGGTTAAAGTTTTTAAAATTTTAACAACTTTCTTAAACTATCCTGGATTTGTACCACACTTGGACAGAAGCTTGTTTATGATCAAAAGCTAGTATCTAGAAGGAAATTTTGATAAAATTTTGTTCCATTTTTTCTGTATTTTACTTATAAATGGACTTAGTTTTTCTTCCAGTCAACATTACATACATTCTGCAGTTTAAGTTTTTAAAACATTTATTAGATTCATAAATTATCCTGGATTTTTACCAAACTTGGACAGAAGCTACTTACAATCAAAACATAGTATAGAGGGGAATATTTTTATTAATTTTTTTCCTCATTTTTGTTGAGCCTGCGATTAACACCAAAAGTAGGCGAGACACTGGGTTCCGCGGAACCCTTACGAATTTTTTATCATGAAAAATCTAATTAAAGTTGGATAATTTTGGACGATGTGTAGCTTTAAAAAAGCACGGCGAATAAAATTTCATGGTAGTAAAAAACTATAAAATGTTGGCAAAGTACAAGAAAATTTGTTGCAATGGTCAACTTTAAAAAGAAAAAAAAAAAAGAAAATCGTAATAAGAATTGAATCAATCTTATCTTGAAATATATAACATATATATATATGATGTAAATATGTCACTGGTATAAAAAGCAGCATCAGAAGTCAATTACTAAGTGCACTTCCGTTGGTAAAAATGCAGACGGCTTTGTTACACCAGGCGTTCCATACGTATTTGTAAATTAGTTATCTCCCTTTGGTATTGTTATTTATCTGGCTGTGAAATTTACATGATCTTACGTGACTTGTTTTTGTGTCTGGTTCAAGAAAAGGTAAACTTGTAAGTAAACAATTATTATTTAAGTAATTTATATTTGATGTCAGTATTTTCGGACTTGATTTCAAAACAAAAGAACTTACTCAAAGTAAAACTGTAAATTACTGCTGATACTATAATTTATAAATCTTCCGATTAAATATGTTTATGTAAAAGCAGAGACATGTACATACTAAATGTATTGTCTCTGGTAAAAGTTAGTGTGTAAAAGTATTAAAAAAAATTACAATCTATTCTCCGATTGAAACTTTTAACCCTTGACTTAACTTCAAATATTGTATCTAACTGAACAATATAAAGATGTAGGGTATAGACTATAGTTAGTTTGAAATGATTTACACAGATGTTGAAAAAATATTTCTATGGAACGCCTAATGTGCAATATTTATAGCATTCATTATATTTTTTTCATGTAATATTTTAAATTCGAAATTATAAATTATCAAAGTAGTGTTAAAAAAAATAATTACAATTCATGCCAGTAGACATGGTAGACTCTTTCAAATCTTCAATTTCAAAATGTCAATATTTGACAGCTACATGTATACATGTATATGTATATATCTAAATAAAGGTAGTATAAGAAAATAAATCCAAAAAACTAATAAGGGAGATAACCCTAGGATTTCAGTTAATTATGCAACAAAAGTCGCAGAATGTGAGACATAATTAATATAACAATCTGGCAGCAGCAATGGCGTAAACTATTTGTATAAAGCATCATATTTCAGAAGCTAGAAGACCTGGATACTTGAAACCTTGTATGCAGCCGCCGACGACAGACAGCAGGTACATGATGTATCTTACATTTAATACGAAGTTTCTGTTTGTCATCTGTCCATTGTCCTTGACCTCATTTTCAAGTTTCTGTGACTGCTTTATAGTGAAATACTTTCATATTGAGTAATCGGATAACTATTTATTGGTGAATGGATTCTTTGATAGGTCTGCATGTCTGTCAGGTAGGGTTCACTTGACCTAGACATCATTTAATGGTTCATTGAACAATGTTCAGTGATTTGGTTTATTTCTCAGATACTATAAAGCAATATGTCAAGTATATTTGGTTTATAGAATAATTGTAAGATGTGCATCTCTGTCTGTCAGATTTCATATGACCTTCACCTCATTTTTATGGTTCATTGGTCAATGAAGGTTTTTGTTGTTATGTCAGTTTATCAGGTACTATTACAATAGGTCATTATTATAATTGGTGTCAGGAATGATTGTAAGGTGTACTAATCTGTCTGACAGGGTTGATATTTCTTTGACCTCATTTTCATAGTTCATTAGTCAATTTTAAGATTTTTAAGGTTTGGTCTGATTTGGTATATAGGATGATTGTTAGTTGTACATATCTGTCTGACAGCCTCTTGTTAAGGTTTGGTCTTTCCTCGGGTACTATAAGGGATAGAACCGATGTATTTGGTATATAGGATGATTGTTAGATGTACATGTCTATCTGACAGCCTCTTGTTAAGGTTTGGTCTGTTCCTCAGGTACTATAAGGGATAGAACCGATATATTTGGTGTATAGGATAATTGTTAGGTGTACATGTCTGTCTGACAGCCTCGTGTTAAGGTTTGGTCTGTTCCTCAGGTACTATAAGGGATAGAACCGATATATTTGGTGTATAGGATTATTGTTAGGTGTACATGTCTGTTTGGTCTGTTCCTCAGGTACTATAAGGGATAGAACCGATATATTTGGTGTATAGGATGATTGTTAGGTGTACACGTCTGTCTGACTGCCTCTTGTTAAGGTTTGGTCTGTTCCTCAGGTACTATAAGGGATAGAACCGATATATTTGGTGTATAGGATGATTGTTATGTGTACATGTCTGTCTGACAGCCTCTTGTTAAGGTTTGGTCTGTTCCTCAGGTACTATAAGGGATAGAACCGATATATTAGGTATATACGATGATTGTTAGGTGTACATATCTGTCTGACAGCCTCTTGTTAAGGTTTGGTCTGTTCCTTAGGTACTAAAAGGGGTAGAACCGATATATTTGGTATATAGGATGATTGTTAGGTGTACATGTCTGTCTGACAGCCTCTTGTTAAGGTTTGATCTGTTCCTCGGTTACTTTAAGGGATAGAACCGATATATTTGGTGTATAGGATGATTGTTAGGTGTACATGTCTTTCTGACAGCCTCTTGTTATGGTTTGGTCTGTTCCTCAGGTACTATAAGGGATAGGACCGATATATTTGGTGTATTGGATGATTGTTAGGTGTACATGTCTGTCTGACAGCCTCTTGTTAAGGTTTAGTCTGTTCTTCAGGTACTATAAGGGATAGAACCGATATATTTGGTGTATAGGATGATTGTTAGGTGTACATGTCTGTCTGACAGCCTCTTGTTAAGGTTTGGTCTGTTCCTCAGGTACTATAAGGGATAGAACCGATATATTTGGTGTATAGGATGATTGTTAGGTGTACATGTCTGTCTGACAGCCTCTTGTTAAGGTTTGGTCTGTTCCTCAGGAACTATAAGGGATAGAACCGATATATTTGGTGTATAGGATGATTGTTAGGTGTACATGTCTGTCTGACAGCCTCCCGTTAAGCTTTGGTCTGTTGCTCAGGTACTATAAGGGATAGAACCGATATATTTGGTGTATAGGATGATTGTAAGGTGTACATGTCTGTCTGACAGCCTCATGTTAAGGTTTGGTCTGTTCCTCAGGTACTATAAGGGATAGAACCGATATATTTGGTTTATAGGATGATTGTTAGGTGTACATGTCTGTCTGACAGCCTCTTGTTAAGGTTTGGTCTGTTCCTCAGGAACTATAAGGGATAGAACCGATATATTTGGTGTATAGGATGATTGTTAGGTGTACATGTCTGTCTGACAGCCTCCCGTTAAGCTTTGGTCTGTTCCTCAGGTACTATAAGGGATAGAACCGATATATTTGGTGTATAGGATGATTGTAATTTGTACATGTCTGTCTGACAGCCTCATGTTAAGGTTTGGTCTGTTCCTCAGGTACTATAAGGGATAGAACCGATATATTTGGTTTATAGGATGATTGTTAGGTGTACATGTCTGTCTGACAGCCTCTTGTTAAGGTTTGGTCTGTTCCTCAGGTACTATAAGGGATAGAACCGATATATTTGGTGTATAGGATGATTGTTAGGTGTACATGTCTGTCTGACAGCCTCTTGTTAAGGTTTAGTCTGTTCCTCAGGTACTATAAGGGATAGAACCGATATATTTGGTGTATAGGATGATTGTTAGGTGTACATGTCTGTCTGACAGCCTCTTGTTAAGGTTTGGTCTGTTCCTCGGTTACTTTAAGGGATAGAACCGATATATTTGGTGTATAGGATGATTGTTAGGTGTACATGTCTGTCTGACAGCCTCTTGTTAAGGTTTGGTCTGTTCCTCAGGTACTATAAGGGATAGAACCGATATATTTGGTGTATAGGATGATTGTTAGGTGTACATGTCTGTCTGACAGCCTCTTGTTAAGGTTTGGTCTGTTCCTCGGTTACTTTAAGGGATAGAACCGATATATTTGGTTTATAGGATGTTTGTTAGGTGTACATGTCTGTCTGACAGCCTCTTGTTAAGGTTTGGTCTGTTCCTCAGTCAGGTACTATAAGGGATAGAACCGATATATTTGGTGTATAGGATGATTGTTAGGTGTACATGTCTGTCTGACAGCCTCTTGTTAAGGTTTGGTCTGTTCCTCAGGTACTACAAGGGATAGAACCGATATATTTGGTTTATAGGATGATTGTTAGGTGTACATGTCTGTCTGGCAGCCTCTTGTTAAGGTTTGGTCTGTTCCTCATGTACTATAAGGGATAGAACCGATAGATTTGGTGTATAGGATGATTGTTAGGGTGTACATGTCTGTCTGACAGCCTCTTGTTAAGGTTTGGTCTGTTCCTCAGGTACTATAAGGGATAGAACCGATATATTTGGTTTATAGGATGTTTGTTAGGTGTACATGTCTGTCTGACAGCCTCTTGTTAAGGTTTGGTCTGTTCCTCAGGTACTATAAGGGATAGAACCGATATATTTGGTGTATAGGATGATTTTTAGGTGTACATGTCTGTCTGACAGCCTCTTGTTAAGGTTTGGTCTGTTCCTCAGGTACTATAAGGGATAGAACCGATATATTTGGTGTATAGGATGTTTGTTAGGTGAACATGTCTGTCTGACAGTCTCTTGTTAAGGTTTAGTCTGTTCTTCAGGTACTATAAGGGATAGAACCGATATATTTGGTGTGTAGGATGATTGTTAGGTGTACATGTCTGTCTGACAGCCTCTTGTTAAGGTTTGGTCTGTTCCTTAGGTACTACAAGGGATAGAACCTTTATTTTTGGTGTATAGGATGATTGTTAGGTGTTCATGTCTGTCTGACAGCCTCTTGTTAAGGTTTGGTCTGTTCCTCATGTACTATAAGGGATAGAACCGATATATTTGGTGTATAGGATGATTGTTAGGTGTACATGTCTGTCTGACAGCCTCTTGTTAAGCTTTGGTCTGTTCCTCAGGTACTATAAGGGATAGAACCGATATATTTGGTTTATAGGATGTTTGTTAGGTGTACATGTCTGTCTGACAGCCTCTTGTTAAGGTTTGGTCTGTTCCTCAGTCAGGTACTATAAGGGATAGAACCGATATATTTGGTGTATAGGATGATTGTTAAGTGTACATGTCTGTCTGACAGCCTCTTGTTAAGATTTGGTCTGTTCCTCAGTCAGGTACTATAAGGGATAGAACCGATATATATGGTGTATAGGATGATTGTTAGGTGTACATGTCTGTCTGACAGCCTCCTGTTAAGGTTTAGTCTGTTCCTCAGGTACTATAAGGGATAGAATCGATATATTTGGTGTATATGTGTATATGAGGATTGTTAGGTGTACATAGATACATTTGTACATGTATAAGAAGATGTCTTTCTGGCATGGTTCATCTGACCATGACTTCTTTTTGATTATGTTGTGTTTATGTTATACAAATGATATATAACAGACTGTCAACATAATTCAATTATAAGTAAAACATACCAGATAGTCACATTTCATCCTGCGCACTCTTGTCTATAAAAATGTATGCATGATTTTTCTTAATGAGTTCATGGAATTAGATGTGGTAGGATGGCCAATGAGTCAACTATCAAACAGTCAAATAAAATAGGTACCATGTTATCGCACTGCAGGTAAGTTATGACGTTGTGATTTGTTCAAGCGTTGTCACTTGCCAATGAGACAGCTACCAAACAGTCCAATAAAAACAAATACTATTTTATCGCTCCGTGGGTAAATTATGACGTTGTGATTGTTTAAACGCGATTGCGTGCCAATAGACAACTTTCGAGTTCGATTCATTTCAAAAACTCTGGTTTTAGTGAACATCATTCGTGCGTTTAGGGGCATCGTCACTTCCGTTCCAATGTTGAGCAAGTGGTTGGAAAACTATAATGCTATATTGCACGAATTATTCGGCAAATTAAATTCTCATAATTGACAATCAGCACTACTGTCATTAGGGAATTGTGATTAAGTTCTTACAAAGCAAACATTATTTCTAGTTTATCCTTCACAATGACGATCACTAAGACGCTTGATGAAAGTTAATAGTGCAGGGATACAGGCGATCCCCTCTTTCTGGTAAATGACGTCATAAAGGCGCGCATAATTGACGAGTTTTTTCCGGTGAAGGATGAACTCGAAAGTGGTCTATGAGACAACTATCAAACAGTCCAATAAAGGCAAATACGATAATGTCAGACAGCAGCTAATATAATCACTGAAATAAAAGGTTCTGCCACTTAGAGAGCTACCATTTGATTTTTATGGGGGGGCTAGGATGAAAAATTTTGTCCTGCATTTTTTTTAGTTGTAATCTCTGTCCTGCCGTTTTATTTTTCACTCTATTTGGTCCTGCCTTTTTTTTTTATTAGTTTATCCTGACTTTTTTTACCTAAATTGTCATCCTGCTTTTTTTTTTTGCCAAGTTGCTCATCCTGCCTTTTTTTTTACTCAAAACTCCTGTCCTGCCTTTTTTTTCAAATTTCATCCTAGCCCCCCCCCCCCCCCCCCCCCCCATAAAAATCAAATGGTAGCTCCCTTATAGAATGTGGAGGGGTTAACATGTTTTTGAGAGCTCAATCTTTCCTCGTGTTCCTGAAGCTTTGACAGTCACATACAACAAGTTTAGAAATATTAACAATGTAAGACATGTTAGAAGGGACAAAGAAATTACTGTCCAAAAAAAGTTAACATCATTATCAATAAGGACCAGCAATTTCAAAGTCATTTTGTAAACTTTTAAATTGATTTTCTTCTTGTGAAACGTAAATATCTCAATCTGTTTTTATAATAGTTAATTTCCTTTTTTTTAAGACTCTGGAAATAAAGTGGCCAAGAGTGTACAGAAACCAATATATTGTCGATCAACAATAAACAGACAGATCTCTAATTACCTCCCTTGATCAAACTACAGTACAGTTTATATTGGAACATATCAGCTTCATACTGGAAGAAATAAAATTGTAAGGATTGGAATAGTTGTACTGTATAAAAAAGGAAAACATGAAGACACATAATGCTGAGTAAGAGGAGCATATCAGAACATATACTGCATAGTTTAAGAACACATACTGCAAAATTGCAAGAACATATCTATAATTGGTAAACTTAAAAGGATGTAGTCAGAGACATGAGAAGACACACTAGTCATGCTAGTGATAAACTGTATATATGTGATATATGTGGTAAAGAGTTTAGTCAAAATTCAAGCTTGCAGAGACACATGAGAGTACATACTGGTGATAAACTGTATAGATGTGATATATGTGGTAAAGGTTATGGTCAAAGTTCGACTTTGCAGAGACACATGAGAGTACATACTGGTGATAAACCTTATAACTGTAATATATGTGGTAAAGGGTTTGTTGATAGTTCAAGCTTGAAAACACACATGAGAATACATACTGGTGATAAACCTTATAACTGTGATGTATGTGGTAAAGTGTTTAGGTATAGTACAAGTTTACAGAATCATATAAGAACGCACACTGATGACAAACCTTATAACTGTGATATATGTGGTAAAGTGTTTAGGTACAGTACAAGTTTACAGAATCATAGGAGAACACATACTAGTGATAAACCTTATAAATGTGATATATGTGATAAAGGGTTTGGTGATAGTTCAAACTTGAAAAGACACATGAGAATACATACTGGTAATAAACCTTATAAATGTGATGTATGTTGTAAAGGGTTTAGGTATAGTTCAAATGTACAGATTCACACGCGAACACACACGGGTGACAAACTTTATAGATGTGATGTTTGTGGTAAAAGGTTTATGAGTAATTCAAATTTACAGATTCACACAAGAACACACACTGGTGATAAACCTTATAAATGTGGTGAATGTAACAAAGAGTTTAATCAGAGCCAACATTTACATAGACACATGAAAACACATACTGGTGATAAATCTTATAAATGTGATGTATGTGGGACAGGATTTAGTCGGACTGGTGAATTACAGAGACACATGAGAATACACACTGGTGATAAACCTTATAAATGTCACGTGTGTGATAAAGGGTTTAGTGATCGTTCAAATTTACATAGGCACAGGAGAATACACACTGGAGATAAACCTTATAAATGTGTTAAATGTGGTAAAGGGTTTAGTCATAATTGTAACTTACAGAAACACATGAGAACACATACTGACGACAAACCTTATAAATGTGATGTATGTGGTGAAGAGTTATGCAAACGTGGTGACTTAGAGAGACACATGAGAATACACACTGGCGATAAACCTTATAAATGTCACGTGTGTGATAAAGGGTTTAGTGATCGTTCAAATTTCCATAGGCACAGGAGAATACACACTGGAGACAAACCTTAAATGTTTTAAATGTGGTAAAGGGTTTGGCCAGACGACTGGAATCTTAATGAAACACATGAAACACACACTGGCAATAAACCTTATAAATGTCACTTGTGAGAAAGAGCTATGTGAACTTCGTGGCTTAGAGAGATACATGAGAATACACTCTGAAGATAAATCTTATAAATGTCACGTTTCTGATAAGAGCTATGTGGACTTCGTGGCTTAGAGAGACACATGAAAAAACACACTGAAGATAAACCTTATAAATGCAACGTGTGAGAAAGAGCAATGTGAACTTCGTGGCTTAGAGAGACGCATGAGAATACACACTGAAGATAAACCTTATAAATGCAACGTGTGAGAAAGAGCAATGTGAACTTCGTGGCTTAGAGAGACACATGAGAATACACACTGAAGATAAACCTTATAAATGCAACGTGTGAGAAAGAGCAATGTGAACTTCGTGGCTTAGAGAGACACATGAGAATACACACTGAAGATAAACCTTATAAATGCAACGTGTGAGAAAGAGCAATGTGAACTTCGTGGCTTAGAGAGACACATGAGAATACACTCTGAAGATAAATCTTGTAAATGCAACGTGTGAGAAAGAGCCATGTGAACTTCGTGGCTTAGAGACACACATGAGAATACACACTGAAGATAAACTTTATAAATGCCACGTGTGAGAAAGAGCAATGTGAACTTCGTGGCTTAGAGAGACACATGAGAATACACACTGAAGATAAACTTTATAAATGTCACGTGTGTGATGAAGAGATATGTGAACTCGAGCACGTAGAGAGACGCGATAGAATACACACGGGTTATACACCTATTAAATGTAAAGGAAAAGTTCAACATGATCTAGTCTGAGCTGAAACTTACAGAAACACATGAGAATACACACATTGACATACAAGTAACAAACTTCATCAATGTGACGTACACAATTAAAGGTTAAGTAAACTTCATAGCTTACAGAGACACATGAGAATACATACATTGACATACAAGTGACAAACTTCATCAATGTGACGTACACAATTAAAGGTTAAGTAAACTTCATAGCTTACAGTAACACATGAGAATACATACGGACATACAAGTGACAAACTTCATCAATGTGACGTACAGATTCGTACACAATAAAGGGTTAAGTAAACATAGCTTACAGAGACACATGAGAATACATACATTGACATACAAGTGACAAACTTCATCAATGTGACATACACAATTAAAGGTTAAGTAAACTTCATAGCTTACAGCAACACATGAGAATACATACGTTGACATACAAGTGACAAACTTCATCAATGTGACGTACACAATTAAAGGTTAAGTAAACTTCATAGCTTACAGTAACACATGAGAATACACACATTGACATACAAGTGACAAACTTCATCAATGTGACGTACACAATTAAAGGTTAAGTAAACTTCAAAGCTTACAGTATCACATGAGAATACATACATTGACATACAAGTGACAAACTTCATCAATGTGACGTACACAATTAAAGGTTAAGTAAACTTCATAGCTTACAGAGACACATGAGAATACATACATTGACATACAAATGACAAACTTCATCAATGTGACGTACAGATCCGTACACAATAAAGGGTTAAGTAAACTTCATAGCTTACAGAGACACATGAGAATACATACATTGACATACAAGTAACAAACGTCATCAATGTGACGTACACAATTAAAGGTTAAGTAAACTTCATAGCTTACAGAGACACATGAGAATACATACATTGACATACAAGTGACAAACTTCATCAATGTGACGTTCACAATTAAAGGTTAAGTAAACTTCATATCTTACAGAGACGCACGAGAATACATACATTGACATACAAATGACAAACTTCATCAATGTGACGATCACAATTAAAGGTTAGGTAAACTTCATAGCTTATAGAAACACACGAGAATACATACATTGACATAAATGTGACAAACTTCATCAATGTGACGTACAGATCCGTACACAATAAAAGGCTAAGTAAACTTCATAGCTTACAGAGACACATGAGAATACATACATTGACATACAAGTGACAAGTTCATCAATATGACGTACACAATTAAAGGTTAAGTAAACTTCATAGCTTACAGTAACACATGAGAATACATACATTGACATACAAGTGACAAACTTCATCAATGTGACGTACACAATTAAAGGTTAAGTAAACTTCATAGCTTACAGTAACACATGAGAATACATACATTGACATAAAAGTGACAAACTTCATCAATGTGACTTACACAATTAAAGGTTAAGTAAACTTCATATCTTACAGAGACGCACGAGAATACATACATTGACATACAAATGACAAACTTCATCAATGTTACGATCATAATTAAAGGTTAGGTAAACTTCATAGCTTATAGAAACACACGAGAATTCATACATTGACATAAATGTGACAAACTTCATCAATGTGACGTACAGATCCGTACACAATAAAAGGCTAAGTAAACTTCATAGCTTACAGAGACACACGAAACATATATACCAGACTTAATAAACCTTATAATTGTTTGTATATAAACTATTCGTTCATTACCATGTATCATGTTTATTTTGTACTTAATATAAATCAGGCCTTTAAATTTCTCCTTTGAATTGTTTTGCATTTGTCATTTCGGGGCCTTCTATAGCAGACTACATGAACTATGGTTTTGAACATTGTATAGTGACCTCTAGTTGTTAATTTCTATATGTCATCTAGAGAGTTGTCTTATTGGCAATCATACGTCATCTTCATTTTATATATTCATAAACATGATAAACTACAACCCTTGCATTTTCAACCTTTCCACAGTGGACAGCACACCTGTGCACATTCGATATTTAATTTTTTGTAAAAATATTCATAACAATTGCTCATAAATCTGCTTTTTCAATTGATTGAACTTGCAAGTCTTTTGATTCAACAAAGAAAATTGCATGTCCATTCCTATGGCTGGGTAGAGTGGACAAACTAGAAATTTTGCCCACCCGGTGCCCTAGTCTTGATGTGGGCAGGTGTACAAAACAAAATTTACCCGAGCTGTAGCTTATAGCATGTTCAGATACACAAAACATACAGACACAAGGGAGAGCCCTTATACCTCATACTATATATTGACAGTAATGATTAATACTGGTGATAAACATGATAAATATGATAAACTTGATAAATGTGATCTATGTTGTAAAAAAAAAAACTAGATGGTTGCTTATCTTAAAAGACACATGAGAACATGTACATATACCTGAAAAAAACACATTATAAATGTGATATATGTGGGAGAGTGTATACCAAGATTTTTCATTCAATTTTAGCCCCCCCCCCTAAAAATCAAATGGTAGCTCTTAAATGTGATGTATGTGGTATAGGTTTTGGTCTTCTTATTGACCCCCACATGAGAACACACACTGACGCAACGTATGAATGTAATGTACTAGTGTGTGGTAAACGTTCAAGTCAACTTAGTTTCTTATTGACACACACGAGAACACACACTGTCATAACTTAGGAATGTGAATGTGATGTACAAGTGTGTGCTTCTGTCGACTTAATTTCTCACAGACACACACATGAGAACACACAGACAGTCAGACACAATGCATGAATGTAATGTTTGTTGTCAACATTTTGATCAACTTAGTTTCTTACTGAATTACACGAGAACACACGTTGACACAATACGATTGAGATGTATGTGGTAAACATTTAAGTCAGCTTACCAGTTTCTTCTTGACACACACGAGAACACACAGACAGTCAAAACTCAGGCCAAGGCTCCGTGTTGAAGACTGTACTTTGACCTATAATGGTTTACCTTCAAACATTGTGACTTGGATTGAGAGTTGTCTCATTGGCACTCATCCCGCATCTTCTTATATCTAACAATGTATGAAAGTAATGTACTAGTGTGTGGTAAACGTTTAAGTCAACTTAGTTTCTTACTGACACACACGAGAACACACACTGTCATAACCTAGGAATGTGAATGTGATGTACAAGTGTGTGCTTCTGTCGACTTAATTTCTCACAGACACACACAAGAACACACAGACAGTCAGACACAATGCATGAATGTAATGTTTGTTGTCAACATTTTGATCAACTTAGTTTCTTACTGAATTACACGAGAACACACGTTGACACAATACGATTGAGATGTATGTGGTAAACATTTAAGTCAGCTTACCAGTTTCTTCTTGACACACACGAGAACACACAGACAGTCAAAACTCAGGCCAAGGCTCTGTGTTGAAGACTGTACTCTGACCTATAAAGGTTTACCTTCAAACATTGTGACTTGGATTGAAAGTTGTCTCATTGGCACTCATTCCGCATCTTTTTATATCTAACAATGTATGAAAGAGATGTATGTGGTAAACTTTAAGTCAGCTTATTTTCTAATTGACACACACAAGAACACACACTGTCATAACTTAGGAATGAGATGTGATGTGTGTGATAAATGTTGAAGTCATTTTAGTTTCTTACTGACACACACTGACACAATGTATGAATGTGATGTATGTGGTTTATATTTAAGTCAACTCAGTTTTCAACTGACACACACAAGAACACACAAACAGTCAGACACAACGTAGGAATAGGATGTTTGTTGTCAACATTTAATCAACTTAGTTTCTTACTGACATACACTATCACGACCTAGTAATGAGATTATGTCAAAAACATTTAAGTCAGCTTTCTTTCTTACTGACACACACAAGAACAAACACTGACACACACGAGGACACACACAACGAGATGTATGTGGTTAACGTTTTTTTAACGAGGACACACAGATAGTCCGACACAATACATGAATGTGATGTGTGTTGTCAACGTTTTGGTCAACTTAGTTCCTTACTGACACACACACAAGAAAACACACTGATGCAACGTATGAATGTGATGTAGGTCGTAAACGTTTTAGCCAACATTGTTTCTTGTTGACATACAGACAGTCAGACACAATGCATGATTGTGTTGTGTGTTGAAAACGTTGAAGTCAACTTAGTTGTTTACTGACACAAACAAGAACACACAGCTAGTCTGACACAACGTATGAATGTGATGTATGTTGTCACCGTTTCGGTCAAGTTAAAGTTTCTAACGGACACACACTGTCACAACATAGGAATGAGATCTTTGTGGTAAACATTTAAGTCAGCTTAGTTTCTTACTGACACGTACACACAAGAACACACAAACAATCAGACACAACGTATGAATGTGATTTTTGTTGTCAACGTTTCAGTCAGCTTAGTTTCTTACTGACACACACAAGAACATACACTGACACAATGTATGAATATGATGTAATAGGTAAACGTTTGAGTCAACCAAGTTTTTAACTGACACACACAAGAACACAAATACAGTCAGACACAACGTATGCATATGATGTTTGCTGTCAACATTTAGGTCAACTTAGTTTCTTATTGACACACACAAGAACACACATGCAGTTTGACCCAACGTAGATATGTGATGTATGTGGTTAACGTTTTAGACTACTCGTTTTCTTACTGATACACATGAGAACACACACTTACACAACTTTTAAATGTGTTGTACACACTGGTGGTTCACCATATAAATTGGTTGTATTGAGTAAAAGTTTAGTGAGTATCTAGTAATACGCATTGGTATACGAATGCATGTCGACGTGATATACCTTATTGCCCACCACGCAACGTGTTGCGGGGGACATATAAATTCAGGGCATCCATCCGTCCGGCCTTGTCATCGTTCTCACTTGTACAATTCTTCCTACATTATAGTTTAGGATAAAAACAAGAGTGCCTTAGACGAGTTTGCAATTCAGAGCTGATTTGTAAATTTATACCCACAGAAATATTAGTTATATTCAAAAATGCATCGTTGGTGCTCTCATGTGTACAATTCTTGTCAGATATTTATGAAAGTCATATCATAGGTTTATATATTAGCAATATCTTGGACGAGTTCGAAAATCAGTGCCGATCAATTATTTTAAATGAGTTATATACCCTTTGAATACATCAATTATATTGAAAAATGCATCATTAGTTCTCTCATGTGTGCAAATCTTGCCAGATTTTATGAAAATTATAATCAGCAATGTCCGCGAAGAGTTCGAAAATCCGTGCTGATCAACTATTTCTAAAAGAGTGATGCCCATTGGAAATATTAATTATATGGAAATTTTCCTTGTGAGCGCGCTTTAATCTGTACAATTTTCACCAGATTGTAATGAAATTTACATTGGAGGTTGATATCATGACATTTTCAAAAATCAGTGCCGAGAAATTATTCTTAAATGAGTTATGCCCAGTGAAAATATCTCTCATGTGTACAATTCTTAGCAGAAATTTTATAAAACTTATATCATAGGTTTAAATGACAGATATTCTTGCCAGAATTTTATAAAACTTATATTATAGAATTATATCAGCAATGTCTTTGACACTATCGAAAATGATTGCTGACCAAATATTTTTAACGAGTTATGCCCCTTGGAAATATTTATTATAACTGAAATCGCATTGCATTTGCTCTGAAGTCTTCATTTCTCTAAGATGTAGAAAGCTTTAAATAACAACATTTGCTTTTAGTTATTGCCCTTGTACCTTGGATAAATAAAATATGTACTAGCGGGGTACATTGGAACTCTGTTCTTTTATTTAACATTGGACATATAAGTTCAAACATATTCACATGAGAAAACTGACCAGTCTTAACCGTATAAATGTGATATGTACGGCAAAGGGTTTGGTGATAGTTTAAACATATTCACATGAGAAAACACACCAGTGTTAACCGTATGAATGTGATATGTACGGCACGGGTTTGGTGATAGTTTAAACATATTCACATGAGAAAACACACCGGTGTTAACCGTATGAATGTGATATGTACGGTAAAGAGTTTGGTGATAGTTTAAACATATTCACATGAAAAAAACACACCGCTGTTAACCGTATGAATGTGATATGTACGGTAAAGGGTTTGGTGATAGTTTAAACATATACACATGAGAACACATACTGGTGATAAACCGTTTGAATGTGATATGTGTGGTAAAGTGTTTGGTGACATTTCAACCATATATTATACACATGAGAACACATACTGGTGATAAACTGTTTGAATGTGATATATGCAGTAGAAGGTTGGTGATACTTGTACATATGAAAAACACACTGGTAATGTGACCTACCGAATTAGCCTAATCACTGAGTTTGTATTTACACAACCAGCACCACTGATGTGGTATGTGGGGCAGGATCTGCTACGCTTCGGAACTAACAGAGATCACACCCGACGGCGGGGTTCGTGTTTCTTAAATTTCAGTTTTTTAAAGGTAATGTTTGTTAATTGGCCACCTCATGGGGTTTTTGATTATGCGATTACTTGACTATTTTTATAGTGACTATTTGATTACCAGACCAAATATTTCTTGATTATTTGATCATTTGATAATCTAGGACTGTATTTTTGACAGTGGCTATTTTGCCGGCTCCAGGAAAATAGCTTCTTATAAGGGGCTATTTTAACGGCTCAATCGAAATAGCCTACTTTGCGCTTTACTGACGACTCCGGCAAAATAGCGATTTATATCGAGCTTTGCTAT